TGCGTACCCCCTCGGATATCTCGGAGATCTGTATCCTGCCGAGCACATACACAAACACCAAGTATACAAGAAGAAACAATTCAACCACCTAATACAAAGACGATAGAAGCACAACTCGTTAAAGGAGCAGAAAAAAAAAACAGACTAGTCTAAGCCTTGTAGTAAAAAAAATGAAGTAACATTATGGGAACGTCAGCCCCATGCTTCGCACGGCACACCTATCCAACCAGCGAAAGGAAATANTTAAAGGAGCAGAAAAAAAAAACAGACTAGTCTAAGCCTTGTAGTAAAAAAAATGAAGTAACATTATGGGAACGTCAGCCCCATGCTTCGCACGGCACACCTATCCAACCAGCGAAAGGAAATAGCTACACATGAATAGACCACAATTCAACGAACCGCAGGCGTGCAGCAATCGGGACGGCTCTAATCGAGGTATGATCGATCGTGTTGGTAAACTCGTAGCTTCTTCTGGTGAAAATATGTTTTATTGTTGAGACCTTGGACCAGGAGAGCAGGTCAAAAGGTGAAGTAAGCGTGGTGGGCGTGCACAGCACCCCAGCAGCATCACGCTGAGCCATCCACAAAACACAGAACACAGACAGGCCAAGTTTACTGCCCATACACACGCAAGAGCACTGCAATCACTCTCCCCCCATAATGCATACTTTGCGTCACAATCTCATTTATTTGATGAGTCTCATTATTATTACTCGTCATACACGCATATCAAACAACACCATGGGTAGAGTTGAAAATCAAATCGAGCGGGAAATCAACAACCACCTGACTGACCTGTTCAGAAATCCAAAAAATATATATACAGCATCGAACGGGTAGTCTTTCTGTGTGTATATTTGTGATTCCGAATATGTACAGCAGTAGCCTTTATGAGTGTTGTTGTTGTTGTCTTCACAATAAAAACCATCCCGGTCTCTCTATCCAGTACCTCCTTCTGTCTCAATCTCTCCGTACTAATTCATCACTTGACTCGGCCAATTTCCGTGGTCACAGGCTAACGTACCTAGAAAAGGTATACCAAAATAAAATGAACCCCAAGGGTCAGCAGAGCGATAAAATACAAGAAAACAATACATAATCAGAAACAAATAAAATAAAATAAAATAAATAATTAGACTAGTGTATATTTGTTTTTCAAATAGGTACAACAACTACTGCTATAATAAACAGTACTTTGTAGTAAATAGATAAACTAACGTATGTCGGTTATTGCATACTGCTGTAGCCTTTCTGCACGTATACTTGTTTTTCCTAAATACTGCTGTAAAAAGCCCCCCTCGAACGACTATGAATTTCGCTCGAACAGGGAGCTTTTATGTGTTTAACGGGTAGTCTTTCTGTGTGCATATTTGTTTTTCCTAATATATGTATTTTTCTAAATTAAACCAGCAACTACTGTCAACATGACATATTGCGCCGTGTTCCCTGTGCAGGCCACATGTAAATGTACCTACGCAGATGTTTTTGTGCTAAGCACCAACTGGTATCACTGATATAAATCATCAGTGTATAGGCTTAAACAAACTCGAAATAAGTCAAGTACCCAGCTGGTTTTCCTCTACTCACTGTAAAGACTTCAACACATCCCCTTCGAGTGTAGTTATACCTCGAACGGGTAGTCTTTCTGTGTGTATATTTGTTTCTCCTAATACGTACCTAGAACATTCGAGGCATTCATTCCAGGTACATTTCTACAAAACGACAGTCCGGTCATTTGAACTGCCATATCAGTATTCTCAACGTTACTCTGTCGACACACAGCAGCAATATCACGAACACCCTCCCTTATGGGACTGTTGGCTCGACCAGATCAATATATAGTCTATCAGAATTTTTTTTTTGACAAAAACACGACTCAGACCTCTACTTCGCAGATCTCGAGCCTAGAGCAAAACTACGATGAACTTCCAAAAAGATCTCTCGGCAGAGCCTTCGTCAGAATGTCCGCATGCTGCCCTTCGCTAGAGACATGCCTGATTTCCAACACTCCCTCCTCTGCCAAATTCCTGAGAAAATGGTGCCTCACGTCAATGTGCTTCCTGTTACACGAACTGAGTGGATTCTCAGCAAGTACAATCGCACCCTCGTTGTCCTCTCGTACCTGAATCTTACCGGTTCTATCACTGGGCCTCAACAACTCGAGCATTCCGTTGACAAACAGAGCCTCTTTTACACCGTCACCCATCGCAACAAAGTCTACTCTGCTTCAGTTGTTGAAAGTGTGACACATTTCTGCGTCCTAAAAATCCAAGCAACAAGACAGTCAACTACTAGGACTAGTGCTCCCGACACTGATCTACGGTCAGTGGCCTTACTGGCGAAGTCTGCGTCTACGTAAATCAACGTGCCTACGTCTACCATACATAGTGTCCTGCTTGTTCTTCAAAGATAGATGTGCCGTTTCCAGAAGATAATTTAGTCTAGAATCTTCTGAGCAGCCCTCCAATGGCTTCTCTTTGGCTCGTGAGAGTGCGTTGCCACCGCCCGCACAGCATTCGAGATGTCGGGCCTTCCTTGTCTGGTTGGCGATCCACATCAGGCTCCCCACCACCTCTCGGAACGGCACATCTCCTGCCCCCTCATCCTCCATCACGGACCTGTAATCGTTAGCAAGGGAAGCTGGGATCGAGCTGGTGCGACAAACATTAAATCTCTCAAGAACACTCCTGATGTAACTCTCTTGAGACATCTCAATCGTACCAGCCTCGCGGTCGCGAACGAATGCGCAACCAAGAAAGAACCTGACCTCGCCCAAATTCTTCGTGGGGAGAGAGTCACCTAGCGCTTCCACAACCATCTTGGCAAGCCTCTCAATTCCTGCATACAGAATGTCATCCACATGAATCGCAATCATACCCAACACCTCGTCTCCCATCATGAAAAGAAGAACACAGGGGTCTCACAGACTCTTCGAAACCAATCCTCTTCAGGTCCGACACTAGTCTCTTGTGAAACGTTCTAGATGCCTGTCTCAGTCCATACAAACTTTTGTCTAGTCGGACAACCTTTCCTGTCATCGACTCGCAGCGAGGAGGCAACTTCATGAAAACCTCGTGATCCAATTCTGACTGAACAAACGCTTGCTCAATGACAAAGTGGAGAAATTCCAAATCATACTTGCACGACAATGCTACCAACAAACGAATCGATGCAGCATTTGCAGTAGGCGATTAAGTCTCAAGATAATTCACGTCATGCTTCTGCTTGAAGCCCTTCGCTACAAGCCTAGCCTTGGCCTTCACTATCTTGCCTGTTTCATCTGGTTTACATTTGTAGACCCATCTAGCGTCTATCACGTTACAGCCTATTGCAACCGTTACCGCTAACGCGAACGTTCCTGCTCTTAACAAGCCTTCAAACTCTGCAGACATGGCCTTGTCCCAAATCGAGGAGTATTTTGACTGACGGGCTTCTTTATAGCTACCCGGTTCTGACTCTACGTCCTGAATGAGCACTTTCGGCATTTCCATTGCATCAGATGCTCTCTGTTCCACTAACAGTGCGTCTATTAGTTCTGATGCGGAGATGGGTCCTGGAGTGGCCATGAGGCCGGTTACGCTCTGCTGATTGACGGCCCGAGTTTGCGCACGGGTTCTTCCTTCTCTGACTTCAACATTCTCATTCGCAGCAGTGCTGTAACTAGCAAGCTCATGCCGCGCACAACGATTAGATGGTACGTGCGTAGCAGGGGGAAATGACTCTGATTCTACCTCCTGCCTCCCGGCTCAACCAACTCTTTATCCAACCCTTCCTGACTCTCCGACTCTACCTCCTGCCCTTCCGGACCCGCCGATTCTGCCTCCCCTGTCTCCGGCCCTTCCTTCTCTCCCTCATCGGTGAACTCGCTGCTGGAGAAGACACAGGCGGAGCTTCGCTACTAGGGGAATTAATCGCGGGCGAAGATGGAAGATAGGGGGGTTGACCTACACTGCCTGCATCAACACTGCCAACCTCATCGATTGCTTTACCAGAGACCGTTGCATTACGGCGCAAAAGAATGTGGGGAACTCCTCTCCCTAAAAGCGGCCATACCTCAGCTTCTACATCGTCGTCACGTTCCTCCCCTTCCTCCTCTGCGACCTCAATCGGCAAGAGAGACGGTCGCGGTGGAGGGAGTTATGACGGCAACGCTTCCCACGCCACATTCCTCGTTTCCTGAATAGTGCCAACCCTCGTAAGTACTCTATGACAGTCACGCGGGTGGTCTCTCGAAGGACCGACAAAAAAGCAAGCCTCACCCTTCGGGAGCAGCTNCTAAAAGCGGCCATACCTCAGCTTCTACATCGTCGTCACGTTCCTCCCCTTCCTCCTCTGCGACCTCAATCGGCAAGAGAGACGGTCGCGGTGGAGGGAGTTATGACGGCAACGCTTCCCACGCCACATTCCTCGTTTCCTGAATAGTGCCAACCCTCGTAAGTACTCTATGACAGTCACGCGGGTGGTCTCTCGAAGGACCGACAAAAAAGCAAGCCTCACCCTTCGGGAGCAGCTTAGACGGTCGCTGCCACCTACAGCAAGCCGGTTTCAAAAACGGATACGGTCTAGCAGGACTAGCTTTACCATGCCACATCTCATACGGCGACTTCCTTTCGGGGTTAGCGGAACAAGCTGTGTGGTTTATTGCTTTGCAAGCCCAGTGCATCGCCTCAGCCCATAGTCTATCAGTGTTAGGTAGTTGCACATGCCCAAACAAAACTTTTGCCTGAATACGGGCAGCCATTGCCGCAACCTCAATCAATCCCAAACCACGCTCCGCAACACCGTTGTATTGGGGACTGTAAGCCGGGGTGAACTCTTGCTTAATCAAGGGCTCGTTGCACACGGACGCAAATTCTCCAAAAAACTCCCCCCCATTGTCAGATCTAACAATCTCAACCAATGATGGGATACCATCAGCACGCACACTTGCGAGGAAAATTCGGAAAGCACTCGCAGCGTCTGATTTACTTTTCAGGAACTACATCCATGTACGTCTTGTGAAATCATCCTTCACTATCATGGGGTAATGTTTACCCCCTACGGACGCAACGTCCTTCCGCCCTCCCAGGTCAACAAAAACTCTGCCCAACTTTTTGTCCGATCTGCAGTTTGTTTCACGAGCAATCCCTTTCTTGAATGCCTTCGACATCGAACATCCCGCACAAGCATGCATTTTACCGGTCAATTAATACCTAATCGTTTTGCTGTTGTACGAAGTAATCCCTCATGTAAATGAGCATAAATGTTATGAAACTCGTTCACATCCATCTTAGATTCATGCTTGGGGCTTGAAGGAGTGAGGGCAGCTAACACCGAACCAACAGAGTTCTTCTCTAGACGATACGCAGTCGAAATGAGCATGCCATTGTAAGTCTCAAAAGTGACATGTCCATCGAAAGCAGTCATCACGCCATCAGGACCCCCAAGGAAATTCCATGACTCAACATCGAACTCTGCGCTTGGAGAAAAGAGGTTGTATCCCAAGTTGGAAGAGTATAGTGCATTCTCCAACTCTACGGAAAACTCGCTGTCAGCATTCACAAACCCCAATTCTGGGGTTCAGAGAATTCTACCTCACAATTCACGCCACCAGTCCCGTTTACGTTATTGTGGCAAGGCTTCAAATCCTTTATGCAAGAAAGGCGGTCGGTCACATGAAAAGCAGTTCCGGTGTCCGCATACCAATCTCCGACATGACTATTCTTCCACTGAAGGTATTTGCTAACGTCAGCAGCGAATGCTCCTGTGGTCAGTTTTGGCAACCTTCGGGATTTCCGATTTGTCAATCTGGGGGATTCGGCTTGTTGATGCAGCAACAGCAAGTCAGATGACCTAGCCAACTCAGAGTCAGACCACTCCCATTCGAACTCCTCACCGGTCTCGTCCTCCTTGTTCGCGGATTTCCCAGTCTGGGAGGGATGACCGAACACACGAGCCAGGCAGTCCGTCCTCATGTGACCGTTCTCCCCACACTTGAAACACGTTCCCTGAAACTTCTTGGAGGAATCAAATTCAGGGCGAGACTTCGACTTTGCGTGATTCAACTTCCGGCTGCCCTTCCTTCGAAATCTCTACTCCCAGTACGTATACCTGTCAACTACCGGTAGTTCTTCCTCCCCGCATTTCCATTTGCATTCTACGGGATTTTTCTTGTCTTCGTTACAGACCACTACTGCGCATTTCTTTCGCCGACAGTCTCCATTTTCGGGTGTATCCTACTGCCGCATCTATTTGTTCCTGCAACCCTTCTGGTGTTTCGGATACCCCCACGAAATCATCTGCAAACATCATGTTTGGGGTGTCGACGCGTGTACTATGTTATCACGCTCGCGGGCTCTTGTCGAGAGCGTGTTGCACAAAGGAGTGACTCAAGTTCCTTGATTAACTATTAACGAGGTATTAACGAGTGACAAGCATGAGCAGCAGGCAAGAAGGACCTGCTGCTGCACACACGTCTGCATATACCCAAACCTATCATAT